GCCTTGGGTGATCTAGTCCTGGGCTGTCTTTAGTTTCATCACTCGCCAACTCCAGTTCCCTTCTGCCCCACCCACCTCCACCTTGCACTCAAGCAGGACAGATCCACCCGATTCCTGGATATCTCCATGTCTTTGCAGTAGCTGTTGCTAGCATACCTGTCCCCTTTCATTGTTTATTTGGGGGGACAGAGTCATGCTCTTACACCCAGGCTGGAGTGCAGTGGTACAACACCATGCCCGGCTAATTTTTAAAAATTTTTTGTAGAGATGGGGTCTCACTATGTTACCCGGGCTCCCTCTCATTCTTCCAGACCAGAAACCCCGAGGCACAAGGCAAACTCAGGCTGTATTTTTGTTCATTTTGGTTCCCTAGCTCCAGGCAGTGTTCCTGGCTCACAATGTAGGCTTGTTATATGTTTGAAATAATAAAATCCATGTGTTTTATTTTAATCATTTGAAGAAAGCAAAATTTTGTAATGCTTCCCCCACCCAGTTCCTCAGCTCAGATTCAATCAGCTGTTTTGAATGATTACCCAGAGATAACAGTTAAGTTGCAAATCGTGTGTGGCTGCGTTTGTGTGTGTGTTTCACCTGTCGGTTTTTGGCGTCTGGGAATGACATTTTTCTTTGCACTGAGACATCAGTTATATCTAAAAATTATGTTTCTAAAAGGAATAGGAAATATGAATGAATAGGTTCGAGTTCAGTACTGCAGGCAGTTTTCAAACCAAATTTGGTAATGTTGATTAAAAATGGCTCAACAAAAAAGCACCTCAAGTATAATCATGGAAAATATTAGTACTACTTTGTATGTAGTAATATATTGTTAAGAGAATTATTCATTGAAATTATGTTAATCACAGGGAAAGACTATAACTTCCGTCTTGGTTTGTTTTAACAGGATCAGTTTGACAACTTAGAAAAACACACACAGTGGGGAATTGATACTCTTGAGAAATGTATCAAGTTTGTGAAAGAAAGGACAGAGATTGAACTCAGCTATGCAAAGCAACTCAGGTAAGTTGATGTTGAAAAAAGTTATTTGTTAACTGCAAAATGATGTAAGGATAACATATATTCTCATTTTATAGTATAAATGTATATTTTAAATATTTCTCCTTTTATGTAAGGTAATATTTGAATAGAAGTGATTGTTTCTCATACAGAAAATTAATTTTCATAGAATAATAAAACCTACATTACTGCTTTAAGGCCCCGTTTTTTTTTAACAAGATATCTGCTGAATTTTGCAGCAGCTTGTTTTTCAGTAAACTTTTTCTTGAAATATATTAATATGTACAGAGAATTACACAAATCATAACTGTGCAGCTCCATGAATTTTGACAGTGTGAACACACTCATGTAACCGGGCACCCAGGTCAAGAAACAAAGACCAGCTTGGGAGGCCCCCTGGCCCCCTTGAGCTCCCCACTTTCTCCACAATGGTAACCACTCTCCTGACTTCTAACCACATGGATTAGTAGTGCCCACTTTTGAACTTTACATGAGTGTAATCATTTAGTATGCATTCTTGTGTATCTGGCTTCTTTTGTTCTATATTACATTTGTGAGATTCACCATGTGGTAACATGTGGCGGGAGTCTGCTTATTTTCATTGCTGTTGAGTATTTTGGTCTATGAATGCACCAGAACTCATCCATTCTACTGACTAGGTGATTGGTTGTTTCCAATTTAGGCATATAATGAGTAGCGCTACAGCGAGCATTATTGTACAAGGCTTTTTGTGTGTATCTGAACACATTTCCTAGGATCTGCCTGGGCGTCTAATTGTACGGTCACCGGCTACTCATATGCTTAGCTTTGGTGGATAGGGTTCAACCCGTTTTCCAAGGTGCTTGTACTAATTCACACTCCCTCCAGTAATGTGTTGAGGGGTCCTGTGGATAGTATTTTAAAAATACTTCAGACTGGTCACAGTGGCTAATGCCTGTAATCCCAGCACTTCGGGAGGCACAGGTGGGCGAATTGCCTGAGGTCAGGAGTTCGAGACCAGCCTGGCCGACATGGTGAAACCCCGCCTCTACTAAAAATACAAAAATTAGTGGGGCATGGTGGCAGGCGCCTGTAATCCCAGCTACTTGGGAGGGCAAGGCATGAGAATCGCTTGAACCTGGGAGGTGGAGGTTGCAGTGAGCCCAGATTGTGCCACTGCACTCTAGCCTGGGTAACTGAGTGAGACTCCTTCTCAAAGAAAAAAATAAAAAGTACTTTTGGGCCAGGAGTGGTGGCTCACGCCTGCAATCACAGCACTTTTGGAGGCCGATGAGGGAGGATTGCGTGAGTCCAGAGAGTTCAAGACCAGCCTGGGCAACATAGTGAGACCCTGTCTCTATTTTTTTTTTTTAAGTACTTTGGATCTCCTTACATCTTTAATGATGAGATTATCCAAGAAATTTGTGTTTTTATTTAAAAGTTCTTGGTAGAACTAAGCTTGAACTTGAAGTGGCATGCAAGTCTATAATGATTTCTTGTTGTGTAGTTGTAGTTGAATTGGTTTGTGGATATTGTTTTAAGGCCTGTTAAAGAGCTGGATGCTTTTGATTTAGAAACATTTAGTCTTTT